ATTGAGATCGCCTTGGATTTTCTTTTACGATTTCCTGCTCACTGAAGACTGCAGTGACACTCAGATATAACAGAAACATAATTGTGCAGTTGGTGATGCACCAGACTGAAAATTACAAAGAAAAAAGTTACTTCAGCTCCCCCCTGTTGGGTGGGGCATTGGGGTCAACCGGGGAGGTGTAAACAGTCATTAGGACAGTTCGTTTAGCCACTAATCTTCTGCTGATCTGTGAAGGAATGGAGTCTTAAGTGAACAGGAAGTGGAGGAGTGGACAGTGGTCAGGTTTTTGGAAGAAGCTCTGTCCATCAAACCTCTGACATTGTGTCATAAAACAGTCATAAGAAAAGTTAATACTGAATGGCTTTTGTTCAGATAGTTCATAAAATCAAGTGCATGATGCACATTTGTGAGTTTAGACAATTGGCCAAGAAAATTTCAGAAGCTAGACAGCTAGACAGACAGACAGACAGACAGACAGATAGATCGATCGATCGATCGAACTTTATTAATCCCTTGGGAGTTACCTTGGAATTAGATGGATTAGTGTTAGTAGTGTTAGTAGATTAATTTGTCATTATTGTTGGTTTGTCTGGTGTTGTATTTTTATAATACTATTGTCATTACTAAAACTAAACTAAATTAGTGTTAAATAGATATAGCATATACACTTATATTTATGCAGCCATTATCACTAGGGGTTACTATACATTATATATGTCCTATTATATAGAATAGATATTAGTAATATATTTATTTATACATAGTAGTGGCGCTTTGGCCCAGAGGCAATGTCTCTGTCGTTGGTGTGGAACCCCAGAGTTCACCTCCTGGGCAAGATCGAATCCCGGTTAGGGCGGTTGGTACTTTCTAGTGGACTCACCACCCACAGGAAGGTTTGGGGGGGGGTTGGTACGGTGCAATGTGATGTGGGTGGCGACTGCTGCCCCCGTGACCCGGGAACGGGTAACATAGCAATACAAGCTAATTTAGCTCAGTTAGTGCTAAAACCAACACAGATAATAGCACAGCTGCTAAGTAACTAATAAAAGAAACATCAGTATAGATATTATAATCTGAAAACAAAACAGTAACATAACAATGGCTGGGATTAACAATGCACCACAATTAAAAGATGACGAAGACATGCAGGAATTTAAATACAGGTTCGACCAAATTTTTGAACGCAATACAGGTCTTCAACCAACCGATACCCACTACAAACCATTATATAAAGACAGATTTTTGGACTGTCTGCCTAAAATTGTACAAGACATGGTTGAGACTTCCTGCGTTGCACTGAAAACAGATTTCCATGCACATGTAGAACATGCATGGGACAGACATCAGGCAAATAAACAAAAAGATAAGAATAAGCCTGTACAAGTTTTTGTCTCATTGCCAAGTAAAAAATGGTCTGATCATGGAGCTAGGCCTCAGCAAAGAAACCAATGGCAACAGAATGATGAATCTGACTATGAGGAGGATAATGACAAGTGCTATAATTGCGGTAGAAGAGGGCACTTTGTGAGAGTTTGTACAGCTCTACGTAGACAGAAGAAATGACCGCAACAACGAAGGTGCTAGAGCACGTAGGGGAAGATGGTTACAGAACAGACACTGTTTGTAAATTCCCTGCCCCAACGACTAGGAAACAACTAATGTCCTTCCTTGGCACATTTAATTATTGCAGACAATGGATTCCAAATTACTCCAAATTATCCGGACCGTTATATTCTTTACTTTCAGGTCCAATGAGTTCTGCACCAGCTACTAAAATCACATTACAATCTGATCATTTAAGGTGCATAGCTCAATTAAAAACAGCACTACAATACGTAGTGTCTCTAAAATTGCCTGACTATAGCAAACCCTTTAACCTTTATTGTGATTCAAAAGATGGACACATGACTGCTCAAAAACACGGCCCATCACAACAACCATTGTGCTATTACTCCAAACAGCTAGATAATGTGGCTGCAGGCCTGCCACCGTGTGTACAAGCTGTTGTTGCAGCTGCAGAAGCAGTGATAGCTTGTGCTGACCTTGTACTTTATCACCCCCTCACACTTCATGTACCACATGCAGTCTCAGTACTGCTGAA